CTTGTTTTTCTCTCTTCAGTCAGTTGTTTATGCTCTTGGGCCTGAAATTTGGATCATTTGTCCTTGGTCCCCAGCTAGAAAAGGATTTTTTTTGTCTCTCTACTCTGTGAAAAGAGTATCTTACTATCTTCTAATATGAAGCTCAAAAGTGCACATTAAAGCAGCACAGAATCTGAAAAATACAAAAGCATCACTTGAAGCTGGTAGAGACATTAAGACACATTTCAAAGATGTTAACACCCATCCCCTCACCCATGGAATTGTGTGTAAAGACATTAGCACACACCTTTCCTATCACAAGGAACTGTTACCTGTGACAGAGTCCTGCTGCCCTGGTGATGGTTGAATACTGTCGGGGTCCGCTGTTATGTGTCTCTGCCCCGACACGGGGAAAGGTGGTTCTGAGCGGCCGCGATCGCGAAGGATGAGTCTGGACTCTCAGATTCTCGGTCTTCAGTCTTGTTTATTATCTCTTATCTACAAAGTTTTCTCTCTGTCCAGCCGAGGTCCGCTCAGCAAGACAGTCAAGTGCACTCTCTCCCGCCCACAGGGCGGCTGTGTCTTTTATAGTAAAAATTACGTGTAACATATTTACCTTTATTTCCCCATACTATTCACCCTTATAGACAAGTGTACCTTCACCATGAACCAATCCCCAAGTGCCAACATCACCACAGAAAATGGAAGACATGAAGAAGAAAGAAGAACACAGGACCACGCCCTGAATCCTCTATCTTGCCTTCATGACCCCCCTGTACCTATTTTTCTAAAATTTATATTTCCCTCCATAAATGTATCATTCACACCCAAGAAGCTCTCATTTCCTCCTTCACAGGTTCTTCTCCTTTTGATGGATCGAAATCCAACCACCAAACCCTTTTGGCTGCATTCCAGGGTTTCCGAGCCCCCCAGGGGCTCCCCTGGTGCCTCTGCACATCCACAGTGATGTGTTGAGATCCCACAGAATACCTGCCTCGCCAGCAGAAGCAGGGAATTAATTCCTGGTTCTGCTTTTCTTGCACGGCCTTTGCTTTCCCTGTTAAACTGTCTTTATCTCAACCCATGAGTTCTCTCACTTTTGCAATGCTCTCCCGCATCCCACTGGGAAGGGGTGAGTGAGCAGTGTGGGGCTGAGTTGCTGGCTGGGTTTAAGCCACAACGTGCCTGTGTACATGGGGAGGATTTTCCTGTGTCAGTTCAGCAAGGAGCAGTGATCCCCATGGGCAGCACACAGGAGGAGCACAGCTCATGGAATAATATAACATAGCAATAATATAGAAAGTGTGGGGAGGTGTATTAGTGATTAAGCTTATCTTCTGGTTTAATTTTTTTCTCTTCTTATTGCTAAATGATGTCTACTTGAATTTTACCCCAGGTAATCCTACCATGATGGGTTATGGGCACAGCTTTCAAAGAGCTTTAGGAACCCAGCAGGAGATCCCAGTGACTGGACAGTTATTTTTATTAGCTGACAGGTATTTGAGAGTTGGGCTCTCAGGAACATAGAAATACAGATTGCAGAATATCACCTGGCACCTGCCAGCCTGAGCAGTGAATAAGTGCTGACATTGTAATATTACGTCTCACCTGTGGAAGATTCTCATTACTTCAGGCCCAAAAATAACTGGTGCCAGAGCTGTGTACCAGTAGCAGTCCCTTGTACATCACACAAGTATTTTAACCTGTCTTTTGTAACTAAATTTTTGCACCAGTTGAAATGCTACTTAATATGGATGCCAGGTTGAGCTACCCAGCATTTTCCCAGCAAGCAAGGTCATGAAGCAGAAACACACTTCAGACTCTGTTAGCTCAAAATCCAGGCTCTGGCACAAGTGTGTCCTATGCCAGCTGTGCCACGTCAGGTCTGAACCGGTGCAGGGCCTGTTGCTACATGAACAGAATACAGCTCTTTGCTGCATTTACCCACTCCAGCACAAGCTGCTCTCAGTGAAAAGTTAGGTACACACACCCGGGACCTTTTCCTCAACTGGCTTTGTCAGATGATCCAGTGGAAACCAAATCACCCCCAAGAGAAGGCAGGAACTGATTTGCCCAGCAGCTGCCCTGTTGCAAGACTCCTCAGAAGGCGAGGCAGCAGGAGCCCATCATGGAGGTGTGGAGGGGAGTGGAAGAGGGGAGTGGGAGCAGCTGAGCTGCAATGTCCAGTGTCGGCATGTTTGAGCCCTGAGCATCAGTAGAGGAGTGGTTTTATCTCTGTCAGGAAGTTTCTGCTCTCCATCTGTCAATTATCACCTCACCCTGCCAAGGTTTCACCCATGGTTTAACCAGTGCTCGCTGCAGCTGCAAGGGGCGAGGTAAAGCCTTGCCCTCCCCACCACACTGCTCCTCCTGGTTATGTGATGGCAGCAGCCCTTGCCTCACCTAAAACCTTACTCTAAGCCAACATGCAGATATTCATCTGTCTTTCTTCCCAGCAAGGTGCAGCTCAACAGCAAAGTGCCTGCATTAAAGCTTTCCTGTCTGTTGGGGGGAATTCTACGGCCTGCACAAAGCAGAAGGCTGAGGAGGGGCACACACTTGATTCATCTCCTGTACAAAGGGATCCTTGGGTTTTGGGGATCATTTTTAGCACTGCCAAACCACAGAGACGATGCAAAATGTAGCCGTGTCAGTAGTGCTGCTCCAGCAGGCTTCACGCCTCAGGTGACTTTCCCGGATCACAGCAGCCTGATCCCTTTTTTGATGGTTTTTAACACTTAAATGCCGACAGCATGCAGGTGCCTGAGGAGAGGTGTCACTCTCACGGCCCAGGCTGTGCTCCCCCTGGGACAGCAGGAGCTGGAGGCTCCGGGAGTCCAGGGCTCCATCTCCTGGCCAGTCCCAGCCTGCAGGAATCCACCTACCCTCGAGAACAGCTTTGGGCACAACAGTATCAGAAGGATCTAAAGTTACTGGTGAAGGGTCTCGAGGGAACTAGAGCTGTGTGAGGAGTGGCTGAGGGCACTCGGTTTGTTCAGCCTGAAGACTGAGGGCAGAGCTCACCAGGGGCTGCAGCTTCATCCCGGGACGAGCTCTGATCTCTGCTCTGTGACCAGGAACAGGACCTGAGGGAACAGCTGGAGCTGTGCCAGGGGAGGTTTGGGTTGGATTTTAGGAAAAGCTCCTTCCCCTAAAGGGTGCTGGGCACTGCCCAGGCTCCCCAGGGAATCACAGCCCCTAGGCTACCAGAGCTCCAGGAGTGTTTGGACAGCGCTGCCAGGGATGCCCAGGGTGGGATTGTTGGGGTGTCTGTGCAGGGCCAGGAGCTGGACTCATGATCCGTGTGTGTCCCTTCTGATTCAGGATATTTAATGATTATAGAGAAGCAGCTGTCTGAAAATGAGCTCTTCTTGTTCTGCTGCTGTGCTTTTCAGGGTCTCACAGTATTGCATCTGGTGGCTTTGTTGATTAAACTATTTTCTGAGTGTCTGATATCCCTGTCAGCCCTGCTGAGCCCAGGGATGTCTGGCTGGGTTCTACCTTGGCTCATGCCTCAGAAGCATAACTGTTCACAGAGTTCTGACTGTGAATTCACACTTCTCTACAAGATTCAGGGCAGGAAGAGGCCAGCCTGTTTGCCAAATTTGGTTGCAAAGTCTACAGAGAGAGAAATCATTCTTTGTGCCAAAAGTGCAAATTACAATTGGAAAAATGGATGTGGAAACTCACGATGTGTGATGATTTTTCTGATATTTTGTAACATTTTGTAAGGGGTTTTAAAATCCTGTCTCGATGAATCACCTGGAATTCTCAACTTCTCTTTTAAAGTCTGTGGTCACATCGCTGCAGAGAATCACGAGCATCTCAGCCTCAAGATTCAGCCATTGAAGGCAAAGAACCACTTATTTCCTCCTTTCTAACTTTTTGCTAACTTTCATTCTGTTGTGCAAGGGGGAGGACTGGATTCCTGCTCCTCAGCTGCCTGAACAGACAGTGCCGAGTGCCAGCTACGGGCTCTTGTGGCGAACTGCGCGCAGCGAGAGCTTATCCTGACTGCATCCAGCAGCACTCGGAGCCCGCGGTACCGACCCGGCAGCTCCCACAGCCGCAGAGCAAGGCAGACTCCCCTCTCCATCAACAAAAGCTCACAAATTCTCTTTTATGGATGCAAACCACGGGCGGCAGCAGCAGTTTGCCGTGCGCGGGGCCGAAGGTGGCTCTGCCCCGTTGCCGGGGAAGCGGGCGGACACCCGGCACCGGGCTGGGCCCGCTTCCAGCTCCGCCTGCGGGGCATGTGCGAGCCGGGGCTCTGCGCTCTTGGGGCGCTCCGCTGCCAAAGCTGAGGGGAACAAATCCCCACTGTGTCCTGACCTCAGGAGAGGAGAATACCTCGGGCTGTGGGACAGGCCTGCGGTACCCGAGTCCCCTTTAGAGGTAGGAAAGAGAGGGAAGCGCCGAAGGCAGCGGAGGGAAAAGCAGCTTCCGCGGGCCCAGCGGGGAATGCCCGGCACTGTCCCGCCCGCGCCGGGCAGGCACAGCTACCACAGGGACCCCTCTGCCCGACACCCTCGCGCTGAGGCGGAGCGGGCTCCCGGAGCCGCCCGGAACGCCTCAGGCCCGAGGCCGCTCCCGCCTCCGCCGCGCGCGGCCACGCCCCGCCCGCAGGTCCTGGCAGGGCCGCGGGGAGCGCGGGGCCGGCGGGAGGA